GGCTTGTGGAGTATCCAAAAGATATGATATTCATAATATCAGAACTCCCTTGAGAAGCAATCGATCAGCCCCTGACCACCTATCCTGTGTACCGGCTGCGTACCAAGACTTCCAAAAATGCCACGTCGCCTCGTCGCGCACGGCTATCGTCGGCTAAGCAGGATGAGTGTCACTGGGTCAATTATGGTATCACTTAGGTCTGAAATCTTGCCAAGCAACCAACAGGACGCTGTTAATTTGTAACAATCAGCTGCGTCACTATGCGTTTCGTCTTTATTCTTTCATTTCTTTACAACCCTTTTTTTCCAAAGAAGCGAGAAAAGGGATTTTAAAGTGGTTTCCTCATTGCAATGTAATTATCATATTACTTAAAGCAAGTAGATACGAAAAGGAAGTTTCACATCTGCGGAGAACCTGCTCCCCCACAGAGCAACTAGCAGGCCGCCAAGGAAGCGATGTGTGGCACTTGCACTGCGAACAGTGCTGTGGTTGCTGAGCAGGACCGTTGCGCCCTTCCGCCTCATCCACCGCCCCGCCCCATGATTCATCGGTGGCTTGGGCGAATTGCGTTGCCACCCGCGGCGCGGTTAAGGTGCCATGCCTGCTGTTTGTAATCAGGGGTGTTGTAGGGGGAAATCATATCCGCAGTAGAGCGTGAGTGCCAATAATCCCAATTCTATCCCAGCACGAGTCACTTTTACGGTTGTCTTTCTTGCAAGCAAAACCAATCTATGCCTACACTCTAGCAGTACAGTTTTAGCACATACTTTAAGGAATTCCACTTTAAATACTTAGATAATACAAATAAGCCGATGGCGAGAACACCCGAAGAGATATGCATGAGAAGTTCACTGTGCCAATGTGGTCAGGAATTGCTATGAACTATTTGGTGCCATAGTTAGCAACATTCACTGAAATAAAGTCACAACAACTTCAAAGTAGGAACAAAAATAAGCAGTGAAAAAGCGAAACACAGCGAACGGCAGCAAAAGCAAACGATAAAATCCAACTATCATCGATTGGAGCATGTATTGGCTTGATGCCAGCACGCGTAATCTCGTACACGCGTGCGCGGTCTTCGCCGCAGTCCATCTCAGAGCCGCAATCAACGGCAGAAAAGGGGGTCCCATTTCTCGTTTCCTGAGCGGATTTCGCTGCTTCTTTCGCCACTGATGTACTATGGAGGACCCCCTCGTCCCCTCTATACCCCATTTAAACCTAGCGTAACCGCTGGCTTTAAGGTGATTGGAGTGTATTTGCGGTATTATCCTACTACCTTTGCTATTCTGCATTGTTATATTATTTTTCCATCATTACCTGAAAAGGGATGAATAGTGGAGAGCTTCGAACCATTTTCAATCGGTTATGTCGTGAAGAGTCGCTGTACGCAATTGCACATGAAGCTGCGATAGTGAATTACATTAGAGAACGAATTTACGCTGGAAAGGCACCCCATTTCAAATTAACTCTTCAATGGAGAGCGTAATAAAGGGAAAACCAGAGAAACAGCCCCGTACTCGACAAATAGGACCCCTTGCCCGTCGATTTGAGCATTGATGCGACTATCATCGCTGTGCCCTTTTGAACACTCTTACCTATATGATCGCTCGCCACGTATAGACCTGCGGCAAGTGATCAGATGATCGTGGGCGTGCACTGGCCCATCGTGCCGAAATTGAGCCCTAATAGGTTGCCGAGGTTAACTTCTTCGGTGCCAATTGCGCATAGGACCGCACCCTCAAGACCGTACCTTTAGAAAGTCCGCGGATCCCTCAAATAGATGAATTGCTCCTTCGACCTTCACTCTAATCGTGAATTCATCCTTCAATTCCATGAAACACCTGGGCTTAACGACATTTTCTGCTTCATTAATGTTGGAGAAACACTGCAGTCTTTCAAATAGTCGTAATATTTCTTGTAAGGATTATCGGAAGTCTCTTGTTTTTCATTGCAGCTGGAACGAATTCTTCGTTGCTACTTTTGTAACGTTGTGGATTTATGAATAATTTTACTGCGTATTTCTTCATAAAATGAACCAGTACACATTAAGCCTCTGATATTCGCCCTATTGCTATTTGTGTGGAATAGAGACTCCTACTAATCTAAAATTTTACGTGTATTTCGATGTAATTTCAACCTCACTTGATGTCGAAGATAAGAATAGGTCCATGACTAATAATGTGGACAGGTGAGAATATAATCAGTTCGCTCCGCCCATTTCGAATTGGCCGCGCCTAGAGGGGCGTGGCGCCACGTTGCTATGCCGACCTGGCTTTTTCGGAAGTCTTGGCCATCAACCTTGTATACCTCGTCTTGTAAACCAGTAGTCTGGTGTTTATCCGTTTGCATGTTTGTAGTTGCAAATGCAGCTGTTGAGCATGAAGGAGATTTGTAAGCTAGCACCAACCTAAACTTCCAAAGGGACGCATCCAAGTCAACACATGTCAGTTCATCTGCTTCGTCAACAGATTCACTGTGAATTATGTGGACTATTCGTTCTTTTTGTGATAATCGTAACACCTGCGTCTAATATGTTGTTCGCACTTGAGGACCTCCTACTGAGAACGAAACTCTCCAAACAACGATTCGGCTAACTAGATAGAAATGTCTTCGTGAGCACTACTATGCCGTTGTTGTCATACCGCATCAAATAAAGAAGATGATTCAGATTTCTCGTACCAAAACGAATGTTAGTTAAAGGCAAAAGTCGGGCTCAACAAGGGGGTATTATGCTACTGAAACTGAGTAGAGAGATGCGAAGTAGAACGAGGGTGGACAAAACAAACTGAGAAACATCCCCCCTCATCTAAGCGGAAAATTCCTGAGTTGTGATGCTGTCCTCAACACAGACTTAGCGAAAAAAAGAATTCGGTAGAACCACTTTCGTAAGTCTGTCAAAAGTTGAGCAAGGTCGCCCCATACCACAGCATGCCACCGGCAAACAATCAACTGAATGGAAATCCAGCAACTGTCGAACACAGCACACATCATGAGAGTCTGTCATAACTTTTTTGACTGCGACTCTCTGGCACTCCAAATACAACGAGGGACCTCCTACCTTCAACTTCTTCATAAGGCAAACTTTTTCAGATCCATTCTGGGGCTTACACCGTACAGTCAAGGATCCATCAACAACGTTGTTATTAGAACAAGACAACTTATAAGATTCGAGACCTAAATTCTCTTTTCTGAGCTCATTCATTTTAATAGACATCGCTTTGCGGCCAACTCACTGTTCTTTCGTACCACTACACCCATTTCCTTCCTGTTCTCTAGCAGAAATGCCAGCCGCTTAGCGGACTATAAAGTAGGATGGCAAAACGAATTCATAAACTCACCCGACGAAAGGATCACTCGCTATTGCGGGAACAATGACGTGTTGTGTGGGACTCAAAACGGCCCTCTATTGGACAGCTCACTTCCGGCGGTGGAACTACCGCCAGTTAGGGTTAGGTGGTGAGGGCATTTTCAGGCCACCAGCATCTATGAGTGAAGTTGAAGAAGAAGTAACTTTAGTCCCGTGCAGTCTTCGCCCTTTCTGGCAGAGAGGTTTTCGGCAGAGCTTAAAAAATAAACTCGAGCTACTGCCATTTGTTTTTAAATATTGCTAACATCAACACTAAAGACCTTGTCAGCGATATCGGAATTGATCAATCGGTATCAGAGCGGTATAAAGCGGTAGGCTTCTGTGCAACTAAACAGCACGTGGAACGTTAAGTCTCACCGCTGAAGAATGCAACGCCGATTGGCATCATGAAATGCCTAAGCCAAGCTTTTCATAGCCTACCAATTGCTGCTGAAGCTCACCGCCAGATACGCGCGAGAGAAAGCAGAGGTGAAGTGGTGTATGTTAACAACCATCACGCCTTAAATGTCAGCGTGATTTAGCGGTCGAATAGTAGTAGTAATGGTGCCATAGTGATGGCGAATGAAGTATGTGCCAAAAACGATTAACTATTCGCGATCAGAAAGATGAATAACCCCTCACTATGAAGGGTGCAGACAAAATGGTATCGAGAAGCCAGCACTAAGAATATTCTTACTTATTACCATTCAGCCCACCCTATGAGAATTAAACATGCTGTTATTAACAACATGTTCAGAGTAGCCAGCAACGTATCCTCGTGTAAAAGAGGCTTGCTTCTGTGCCACGCGGATAACTGCTCGATTTATTCGACCAACGAAATCGCACCTCAAACTTGGGTAATTAAACGAATAATAAGAGCAAATAATCTACCATTACATTACAAGAATACGGAATAACGTGGGATACAAAAAGAAGCAGTAAGTGATCAATCTGTTATGATAAATGAGCGCAATTCAGCTACAGATGCTAGAGAAGGCATGGAGAATTAGATACTAAGCGAAAGCATGAAAGATGCGTCATGAACCATAAAGGCTGGGTTGCGCCATGCATAGGAGAGATGGGAAAAAACCAAAAGTGATGTGGAGTGTTTCACCCTAGAATATTGATTGTCCATTGCGAATGTCATATGTCAGCTTAAAGAACATGAAAAGGAAGTCTTGAACTACAAATTAGGGATAAGCCACGCACTAGAAACGATGTGTGTAAAGCATGAACATTACATCTTGAACTAAGTTCTTGGAAGAGGCCATAACTAGAGAGAGGGAGTACATAAAGCAGGATTAAGAAAGCATGAACTAAGGACTTAGGATAAGTCAAGAACTAAACAGGAGGAAAATGTGATGCATGAATAAGAGCAGGAATTGAGAACATGAGATAAGCCATGAACTCAAGAGGAAGGAGGAAAAAGGCAAAAGAAGAGAAGGCAAGGCCATAAGGCATATCATGCACTGGACCCATGCACCGCTGCCCTGCCCTCTGCGCCTCGAAGCCTCCTATTTATGCAGCGATCCATCAGCGCCTTCAACAGAATGTTCAACAAAAGTCTCCTCAAAACAGAGAAAGCTGCAAGTTGAGATTTTCGCGAAAGATAAAACTTGGATGTTGGAAATCGTACAATTCTACATATAAATTTCTACCTGTAATTTCTCGAATCACGACGTTCGTGATACTGCGCGCTCCCCGAAGTTGACGGTCCCACCATATCTCCTTCTAGGGCGTCTAACTCCCTTCGGAGCTTCCTCGGCTCCCATTCGTTTTGCTCGATGGTCTCGGGAAGCGTACATAGCGCCTTGTTGTGTGAGTCGTCCTTACAATAGACGCACCTCTTCACCGTTCGTCCACAGCGCTCCTTCGAGTGGTGAGTGTCCAGGCACTTGACGCAGCGGATGCGTTTCTCTCGGAAGTCCACGTACCTATACCTGGGGCAGCTGTCACTGTAACGTTGGCCCTCTTCATCACAGAAGGAACAGCGTAAGTTCCTTTCCTCTGGCCTCATTATGTCCACGTACGAAATGCATCTTACGGGAACGAAGCTGTCGGCCTTCAGCATGCTCTCGAGGGCTTCAATTCGCGATAGTATCTCACGTCGTTTGCGTTCCAGGTATAAGCTCGATACAGGAAGTTCATCCTCATGCACCTGTGTCCCAGTATCATGCACCGCGATTTCCGAATCATCTCGAAGTGCGAGTTCTTCTTCAACAAAGTCGAGATCGAGCACATCCTCTTCCACTTCGGCCTCTGGAGCGTTCATGCGGTTTCCTTCTTGGGAGCTCCCTCTTTTCTCCTCGAAAACTGCAAATCGCTCTTCCATATTCTGTTGACATGCACTGATATTGCCAGTTTCTTCTTGAACAGTCTTCATTAGGCTCATCAGCTCGGTCACTTTCTTTTCCAGATCCTTTGTTTCCTGCTGATGGGCCTTCACTGCTTCCTGCGTGGTGATGATCTTCTGCTTCAGCTCAGCCATTGCATTGGGATGATCCTCATTACTGATATGGATCTCCGCGTTTCTTATCTCAGTCTGCATCGCACCCTCTCATCGCAGTATCTCGTCAAAAAAGTCCATCTCTCTTCGAACATAGTCGCTGGTGATTGCTGGATCCAGATTCAGTCCCTCCACTTCTTCTGCGAAGAACTTGTCACGTGTTTTCTTCGTGGCAGACTCGGCGACGATCAGGAACTTGTAGGTCTCGTAACACATCGCTAGTCCTTCAGCAGCACTCCGAAAACACTCCTTGCCGTGGGTGGTTTGCATCAGAACGGTTTCCATTTTCGCTCGGTACAGAGCAGCCTCCCCCCTCGCGTACATTGCAGGTTGGTTTGCTTTGATCTGCATTAGCATGTCCAGAAAACTGTTCGTACGCGTGATACGGACAATCTCCTTGAGGAAGGTGCGGATTTTTCGCTGTACTTCCGCTTCCGATGGCAAGGTCGGAGCTCCTCTTATGCAGGAACGTTTGTATTTCAGATCGTCAATGAGCTTCTGTTCTTGAGCTTTCCTCTTTCTTCGAAGTTCTTCAAGCGTTGATTTGTCCATGCTCCTATAATGACCCAATTCGGTGACGATAATATACTTTTCAGGTTCAGGAAACATTTTTCATCTACAATAGATTATGCTCATGCACCTTACGTGCCCGCTTACAACAATTTTTCATTGGGCGCTACATGTCTCTTCGCGTAGTAGGCGTTCACGAAGCATCGAACAGCGCAGTAAATGAATCGAATACATAACTTTGCTAACTTTGTGATGACTCTTATCACAATTTTCAGAAACATGCATAGTGTAAATCGGCATGCAGACAAAAAGTAGAGGTAACTGAGTGCAAGAGCTCCTCCAATGACAAATGATCACAACTTTGTACCAATGTAGGTAAATAGTGACCAAGTGACTAAGGTCTGGCCAGCGAAATTGGGAAGTCGAGTTGTGATCCTGTCGGAAGGTGTGACTGAAGCCTTCATGCATCTTGTGAATGTACTTCAATATTCCCGTGATCTCGAAAGGTGTGGGTTTTAATCCGCATTTGACTGTGCATCGCATCCGAGCTTGTGCCTCAGTCAACATGAAGTGGATCTTGGAGAACTGTCCTGACGACGAGCATGGAACGGTGAAGGTTTCTCCATTGCAATCAATTTTAGCTGATGTTTCTGCTGTTGAAGACTTGCAGTGTATTTCAGCTATGGCACCTCGACTGCAACTGTAGCATCCGAATATGTGGGTGTCGTCAATTGAGCAAGTGTCATTGGCCGTATCCATAGCCATCTCGTCTATTGTTTCCCTGACGTTCAATGTGAGCTCCGCACTTACACCACGGCTCACTTCTGCCAATACGGCATGGTGTAGATGTCTTTTGAACCTCAGGAAAGATCGTGTAACCGGCAAAATGTTTCCTATATCATTGAATGCCATCGCCACTTCGTTGTCTTCACACTGGCATCGAACTTGGGATTCAGCTGCAGTACATGAGCACTTGTCCTCGACAACACATTGAAGGTCCCTCGCTTGTTCTGCAGACGTGCATCAAAGCGCAGGTCGGGTCCCTTTGCTCAGCAGTGCAGTTGTCTTGCCTGTAGTGATGAAGTTCGTATCCAATTCCGGTAATGGTGGTGGAGCTAGAACGCTGAGAGTCAGAGTCAGTGTTCCAATTTCCACGGGAATGTTCGGTTGTAGAGCGAGGATATAGGTATTGAATGTACTTTTAGCGGGTCTCTTCATCTGCATCATGAGCTTCACTTCTTCTTTCCAAGCTGTGCATGTGAAAATTTCATAGATATTGTTGTTGTTTGGCACTGCATATGTTCTGTAGAAGAGGCAGCCGGAACTCCAGTAAAAGCAATCACAGCCTGGCCCTCCACACGACTCCAAGCATCCTCTTATACCCGGGTACTTGTTTCCAATGGCAAGCTCTGGCAATAAGCTAGTGCTGTTGACATCATTGCATTTACCACCTTTGCAGGAGCCCATATGAGCGCATCGCTTGCTGTCGATGACTTGCATGCTCACGTTTCTTGTATAAATTAAGGACGTTTTCTCGCAGAGCATCCGAAGATGATCCCATTGTAGTCGTACTTCCAAGATAGTAGAATCGTTGCGTCGTAAGCGAAAGCAGGCATCCTTCTTGAAGGGATTTATTTTCAGCACAGATACCGTCTCGACGAAGCATGAAGTTCTGTTTGAAGACGTTGTACAGCTTCGCATATGGTGTGAAAGGATGTTCACCGTTTGGCACGCCAGTATGCCGTGAAGAAGTCCAACGACTGCTAGTGCTTCGAGGATTCGATTTCGCCGTGTTCTATTTCTCCGGAAGAATCGCATTATTCCGCAGATGGTTTTGGCCATGGCGTAAACCACTAGATAGAACAATCTGCAGATTCCTTCCAGAATGAGTCGTACTGGCCTTCCCACAGTGACAGGAACGTAACAGATCGTGTAACACAGGGCGACGACAAGGTACACGATTACACCAATTCCAGCTATAGCGTATACTGGCCAGCACTCCGGCTTCAAGATATTGGCTGAGCACAGTGTGCAATCGACTGTAGAACAGAATTGTTGAGCTGGACAGGTTTTCATGATTGTCACGTAGTTCTCTTCATAACGTAGCTTCCATGTTGCTTCGAAGTCGAGGAGAAGTTCCTCTGGAGGTATTTTGACCACTTTCTGGATTGGCGGCGAGTGTTCGCTAATGCAGTGTTCGTTCACGCATAACTCATACGCTTTGGACGATGGAGCGTTCAAATATACTCCATTTTTCCTGCACTCGATGACCTGTTCAGGTCTGAAGTTTCCAAGATTGAAGTCCTTTTTTGTGATGTCGTCTGCTCTTGACGTCACAATAGTGATCAGCATGAGAGCCATCTTCAGGTACATTGAAGTCGACCATAGACCGAGATGTTTTTGTTTTGTGCCAAGGTTACATCTCACAATGTTGCTTGTAGTAGAGTGATCCTTTCGTCGTGGACGTAGATTGTGACGTCGTTGCTCTGATCTGTTGGTTTGCTCTGCTTGCCAGTCATGACGGTCGTGCTCCTTGGTGTCCTCATTTTTTCCTTCGATTTCCAAGGGGAACAGCTGATTTACTGGTCGTCTCAAAATGCGTTTGCAGCACAGTATTTCCGCTTCTCGCACCGCGCCGTCTGAGCTTTTGACCGTTTTCGTCACCTTTGCTAGCTTCCATTGGTTTCGTTTTTGTAAAGGGTCACTGACTAACACGATGTCTCCTTCGCACGGCGTTTTCGCACAACCTTGCTTATGGTCGATGTGAAGCCGGTGTTGTTCTCTCAGGGCTGTCAAGTAGTGATCGCGCCATATATTCCAGTACTTTTCAGTCAAGCTCTGAGAAGAATGAAGTGCCTTTGCTGTTTGTAAATGAGTGCGCATACGCACGGCTTCACCTGATGGGAGGTAAGTGGAATCAGCATCTTCTTCGATTCCTTCGCATGTCGGTAGAGTAATATTCATGTCGCGTTGCAAAAAGTCAATGGGACGCAGGGCATATATCTTGTCGTCTAGACCGGTTTCCTGATACGTGAGGGGTCTTGTATTGAGACAGCCTTCAATTTCAGTCAGGAATGTTTGCAGCAGTTCCATCGTGAGTACGCGTTTTCCAATGGCTTTCGTGAGCGCATTTTTTACCGACTGTATCAGTCGCTCGTAAAAGCCACCCTCCCATGGTGAGTATGGAGTGATGAAGTTCCATTCAATCTTGTGGTCACTCATCTTTCGGGCTATCTCCTCGATTTTAATTGGGCCCGTCGGTATTCCTTTCTCCAAAAGTTGATCTCCTAGTCGAAATATGGGGACGTTGTCACACGTAACAGACTGAGGTTTTCCACGTCGGGCCACGAATGTTCGGAATGCGTTGAGGAATTTTTCAGTAGTCCCACCTGGTACCACCTCAAGGTGGATCAGTCGTGTTACGCAGCGTGTAAAGATACATCCGTACACTTCGGAGCGATTGCCTTTTTCGTCCTTCACAGTAATTGGACCGAAATAATCCAGTCCAATGTGTTGGAATAGACGGGATCTTGTTACCCGTTTAGCAGGTAAGTCCGTCATCTGAGGATATCTATAAGGAAGGTTGTTGATTTTTTGGCAGCTCACGCAAAGACGGATGTACTTCCTCACTTGTTCTCTTAGCCTTGGAATCCAAAACCTTTGACGGATGTCCGATATTGTGTGAGCGATACCTTTATGGAACGGTCCGTGTGTGTCAACCACAATCAATCGACTTAGTTCAGAATGTAGTGCCAACACAATAGGGTTTTTCGCAGTGTCCTGAAGGTCAAAGGTTTAGTCGCCCGTAAGCTCTCAGGATACGGTCCTTGTCCATCTTGACATTCAGATTTTTGTTAAGCTCTTTTTTTGTACTGTGGTGAGAGATGGACGTCTTGGTGATTCCTGATCAGGATTAGGTCTGCTATCGTTATTTCTTCCGCTGACAGATATCGATCCTGTCGAGTAAGACCGATCCATGGGCAGTCTTCCATCAGTTTGTTCTTGAGCGGTTCCTTGACTCGTTTAGAGATGTTCCTTAGAAACAGTAAAGCGTAGGCCATGATTCGTCGTGCCTTTCTGTAGCTGCTGAATGAAGAAAGGTTTATGATCTCACCGACATGAGGTTTTTCGGTCTCTTCTACATTGAGGTTTGCTATGCCTTCGAGTTCTTCTCCGTCTTCCTGGGGTACATGAAATAATGTCGAAATAAAGTCGCCTTGGGATATTTCACCTGATGAGTATCCTTTCCACCACCTGTGATGTGAAAAGTCCTTTGCCGACACACCCCTTGTGGCGCAATCGGCTGGGTTATACTTCGTGTCGACATATCCGAACTGAACCTCGACTTGCTGGTTTTCTAGCTCCCGAGCAATCTTGTGAATCTCTTTCACACGGTTGAGAACGTATTGGCCAACTCCTCGTCTCTGTGGTGAGCTTTGTAGCCATTTCAACGCGATCTCGGAATCGGATAAAAGAGTTATTTTGCTATTTTCAGGCGTGACTTCAGACTCGTATAGATGTTTCTTGTTAGGCGAGCTCCAATTGTAATCGCATTAGTTTCCATTTTTGGCATTGTGGCTGGTCGCTTAGGGTCTGATAATTTCGATTTAGCCATGAGGAAATGCGATTCTTTGTCCGTCACGAGGTGTGTGCAAGCGGCCATGGCTAGCGTACTGGCATCAGAGTATGTGACTAGCGTATAGACCAACTCCTTTTGGGAAACTTGTCGAGGTATCTTTTTGTGGTATCCGTCGAGGTCTCTCAAGATTTCGTTCCATTGAGCGACTTGATCCGTCTTCAGAGGTTCGTCCCAGTCGTAGTGTTCCTTCCAAAGGTTTTGTTGGAATACCTTTGCTTTTAGGAGTATGGGAATGAACCATCCAAGTGGATCATATATTGAGGCAATTTGTCTGGCGATGCTGCGTTTACTGACGAAAGCGGATTCTTCCATCTTGATAGATAGTTCGAATTCATCTGTGAGCGAGTTCCATGGAATACCCAGAACTTTTGGGGACAGATTATTCGCTCGATCAGCCTCCGCTATGTCCTCCATGATTTTTGAATCATTCGCCACGAATGTGCGCAGATTCATGTTGATGTCCTTGAAAAGGCCTTCCAACTTCCTGTATTTCTCACTGGCTTCCTCTACTGTCTCCGCGGTTACGAAGAGGTTATCCACGTGAAGGTTAGCCGCAATTTCTTAGCAGATCCTGGTGTCTTACGAAATGATTCAGATGGTACAAGAATGGTCCCGCTGAGATAGAATAGTGGATGCATTTCCATCCCATACCGTGACTCGTGCGTGATCTATAGACGACGACGTATGTCTTGCGGACAAAGGCTCTGTAATATCTTTCAGCCAAAGAATCTCGCGTGAATCGCGATCATCTCATGAAGGACACTTGCACAGGAAATGCTTCTCTACATCCAGAGAGAGTAATACTTTCCCAACCGAAATCCTCAGCAGGATACCGTATATGCTTCGGGAGGATCGTAGTCCTTGGTGTACAATTCGTTTTCAAAGAACGGACGTCCTTTGTAATGTGCCGAAGCGTCGAACACAACCTCTGAACTTTGCGTTGTGTCTTTGGGGATAATGACGTGGCTGATGAGGAAAGTTAGATGCTTCTTTCTGATTTCATTAGCTCCTGGGTCTTCGTCACTTTCCAAGATTGTATTCCGCAACTGGTCTTGGAAAGAAGTACATGGTAGTCTTGTACTGAAATGAACTGGGTTTGGTCCTTGAAACGAACGAAGAAATCCCTTCGAGGCGTTTGAAAGCCAATACTTTGTTATCTGAAGGAATTCGTGCTTCTTCTGAAAGGAATTCTGACAAAGTAGCCTTCTTTTGCTTTTTTACTGTAGTGTGAAATTCGTCCATGGACTTCCCGTTTATCACTTCTTTTCCTCTTTTTTCTGGCCCGGTGAACTCTCTTTCTATTGATATGGCGTCTTCGTTCAGTGTTGTCCCAGGGGTTATTATATCTCTGCTCGCAAAGAGCGTAGTTGATTGAGGATGATAAACTCTGAGAACTGATGATTTCTCCATCATTCTATGTTCGCAGATATACGAGTATTCCATCAGATTGTCGGTATTGAGAAGCACCGCCGAAGGTAATTTGAAAATTGAAGGGGACTCGAATCTGGATGGAATCTCCATAGTTTGATCACACCCACAGAATCACCTGACGTTGAGACATGCTTCGCTCAATAAACTGATGTGCGCACATACTTGATGAGCCCCGGCAAAATAAGCAAAGTACCCCTTTATTAATGCCTGTTCATTTTCGACCTGTCGTGTATCGTTTTTTTTTATGGCCGGATTTTTTCTGTGAAGTTATCAAAACTTTCATGGATCGCTTATTTGCGCAGTATGTGAGAGCATTCGCGCTGCCACCTGAACTTTCGTAAGCCACGCTGTGTGATTATATAGACGTTTCATAAATCGGAGGTGTTCTTCATTGCTACCGATATTCGAAAGTTGGCTCTCATAGCAGCTCTAATATTTTCAATCGAGGTCCTCTTCGCATTCAGCAGCACATGCGTAGATACCTTTCGGTTCCGCTGTGAAGTACACATGAATCGGGGGAGGTTGAGCTCCTGGGCTAGCTTTGTATCTATGGCTGAAGGGTAGCGATCTGCCTCCTGTTGTCCAACTAGATCGGCATTAAAGCACAAAGTTTTTGGCTCGTGTACCCTATGATGGACGAGAGCTGTTTGACGAGTGGAACGCCCAGAAGAAGGAAGATTTTGGCATGTATTTTGGGACTATACTGCTCCACGGTTGCTCACTGATACTCCAGTAGGTACCGTGGTTTATCCTCACGTGGAGAACAGGTCTTTCGTGGAAGATACTCACGCGTGCCTCGCGCGAGCAGGAAGGGAAATGATTCCAACTGAACTGACAACTAAGAACAATAACCGATCCATCCAAAAATCAACAACAATCGTGGGTTGTTCGGGATTCTATCCGACGAGACTAGTTGCTACGTTCTGTCTGGTGTGGATGGGAGGTTGCTTGCTGTCATTCACCTTTCATGATTCATATGTCATGTTGAGTTTAGGTGAGT